GTGTTATACTGAAAGTCCCAGCAAAGGTGCAATCTCTGGTCCCACAACAGATGGAAGCCAACTTGTTTTGGTTATAGCTTATTCCTTTATTAATCAATGTCTGCTTTGTAAGGGCTGTGGCTACACTTACTATGACAATGTGCACATAAGTCCAAATCCTGGATCCACTGCACAGTTGGGAGTAAATGGACTACCCTCTAGAGGAAGCATATGAGAGATTGGTTATGAACCACTTTGCAGCAACTACCACAGACTAAAAGCTATATCACTTGTATACCAGTTGTAGCCACTCTCACAGGGAATATTACCCAATGAATCTGCTTTATTTTGGAACCACCATCCCTAGCAAAGACGCTCTCTGCCTTGTGATGCAGGGAGCTCCTGGGGTGCTGGGGCATGCAGTTGGTGCAGATTCCTTGCATGGACGATCTGCATCCCCCACCTCCTTTCCACAAACACTGGACTCTAACATCAGTCTGCACCCTTCAAGGTCCTCCACTCCGGTGGAGGATAGTGGAGGGAGCGGGACAAGCTGCATAAGGCTGACTCTACTGTCAGTGATGTGTGACCTTTCATCTTTAAAATCAGAACTGAGTCCATAAAATAAACTGATCTGTAAAGGGAAATTGCATTATGGGTGTATGCACACTCAAAAAACTCCACTCTGATCTATACCTGCAACTGCCATACACTTAACAGCCTTAACACAAATCCTCGTCCTTCCGGCCCAGTGGAGAATGGGACCCAGCAGGCAGCCTCAAGATGAGGAGCAGGGCAGTACAAGCAGAAGGAGCCCTGCCAAGTGGCCAACAGGCTGAGGCAATGACAGAATGAACAGTTGCTCCTGTGGCCACACCTCTAAGCAAAACATCTATAATGACCATTAAAGAATATCCTGTGTTCAAGGAGCTCTCTGACAGTCGTAGAGTTGGTTCAGCAAGATCTCCATGCCCCCATTAAGCTCCGCACCCCACAACATAACTCTGCTGGTTGTTGATGGTTTCCACAAGGAGAAACAGGAGAAATTAAGCAAAATTCACAAGTAAAAGGGAGAGTCAACCGACAGAATGATAATGCCGTAAGGACAAGGGCTGTACTTGTATCTGTGTCATAAATATAAGAGGAAGGGTAACCACCTTTCTGTACATAGTGCTATAAAATCCCTCCTGGCCAGAGGCAAAATCCTTTCACCTGTAAAGGGTTAAGAAGCTAAGGTAACCTTGCTGGCACCTGACCCAAAATGACCAATGAGGGGACAAGATACTTTCAAATATGGAGTGGGGGGGGAAAGGTTTTTCTGTCTGTCTGTGTGATACCTTTGCAGGGAACAGATCAAGGATGCAAGCCCTTCAACTCCTGTAAAGTTAGTAAGTAATCTAGCTAGAAAATGCGTTAGGTTTTCTTTGTTTTGGCTTGTAAATTCGCTGTGCTGGAGGAAATGTGTATTCCTGTTTTTGTGTCTTTTTGTAATTTAAGGTTTTGCCTAGAGGGATTCTCTGTTTTGAATGACTGCCTGTAAGATTATCTTCCATTCTGATCTTACAGAGTTGTTCTCTTATCTTTTTTTTTTTGTTCTTCTAATAAAGTTCTGATTTTTAAGAATCTGATTGGGTTTTTTGGGTCTTAAAAATCCAAGGGGTTTGTGCTCATCTTGTTTATTCTCAAGCCTCCCCAGGAAATGGGGTGTAATGGCTTGGGGGATATTTTGGGGAAATAGGAACTCCAAGTGGTCCTTTCCCTGTTCTTTGTCTAAATCACTTGGTGGTGGCAGCATTTTCCTAATCCAAGGGCAAAGACTTTGTGCCTTGGGGAAGTTTTAACCTAAACTGGTAGAAATAAGCTTAGGGGGTCTTTCATGCGGGTCCCCACATCTGTACCCTAGAGTTCAGAGTGGGGAAGGAACCTTGACAATCTGTCGCATCAGAAAATCTACACTCAAAGAGCCGAAGTGTACACTCCCCAGAAATGCTCATGTAACAGGAGAGAGGGGGCCAATAAATTTCAACTCAGGGGATTACCTTTGAGTTGTCCCCTCAGTTGGAGGGATTGGTAGCACCATCAAGAAGGGAAGGGTGCTGCCTCTCAGCCCCATAGAGTCTGCTGAACTACAGGGAAGAGTAAGCTTCCCATCCCACTAAAGGGTGTTTTCTTGGTGCTGCTCCTCTGGCAGCCCTCTAGCCCCCGTGGCAACATTCCTTCTGCAGGAACCAGGCTGTCATTGGCCAGGCATGCCCATCTCTACAAGAAACAAAACCTAAACATGCCAACTAACCAACAAACCCATGAGGGCCACAGGGGTTCAAGCAGGAAGTGGAAGTAAATGCTGTTTCAGGCAACTGTTACTATAATCACAGATACCCACTGGGAAGGCAGTTGCACAGGAGGAGAGCAGAACTGCTCCTCCTAGGAATGTGCAAACAATGCAGTGTCACAGTCATAGTACACCTTGCATGGGGCCTGCCTTTGGTGACCTAGGTTTTGGGGGCAGATGTAATGGCAGGCTTTTTCAACAGGAAGACAATGGAAGGGCAGGGTTAGAAAAAGTTTCCAGGAAGGGGAGTTGGAGCAGTAAAAGCCTCTGGATGGAGGAGACAAGGAAGGTGATGGAAGGAAATTGGCCCTCTGGGAAACTCTTGCATTATCTTTAAAAGTATGCAATGCCTCCACTAATATGGGCCCCTCCTTCTTCTGAATGGGACCTCCCTCTCCGTGAGTCCCTGCAGAGCCCATTCTTTGCAATACACCCAAGGAGGAGCTTCTGGTGGGTAGTAGGAAGGGGGGATAATGCAATGGAGGAAAGGGGGCTGATCATTAATTTCTAATATTACATTTTATACTAAACTGATGGCAATGTAATGTTATAGCAAACATTCAATACTATTTCAAAACGCTGGAACAATATTATTGGGGATTCTGCTTTTTACTACTCAGCTACATTCACTGGTAAATTATACTCCTGGCCTGGCATACCAACATGGCTGTTTTTCTTTCTGCTCTCTACACACATCTTACTCTGGCAGAACAAGCCAGGCACATTATCACTTTCCCCTTCCATGCCCAGATCTAGACAGAGGCATAAGGGAGATCATGTTCCCCTGAGTGGTTATGCAGTCCTGGACAAAGTCTAGCTCTTTGTAATCATGGCAATTTTGGGATCACCAAGCACAGTGGTTATCAACCCCTGGGGGTACACAGAGGTCTTCCAGGGGGTACATCAACTCGTCTAGATATTTGCCTAGTTTTACAACAGGCTACATAAACACTAGCAAAGTCAATACAAACTAAAATTTCAGTAATAGTGTGCTAAGGCACCTTTGTATTTTTATGTCTGATTTTGTAAGCAAGTAGTTTTAAAGTGAAGTGAAACGTGGAGTATGCAAAACAAATCAGACTCCTGAAAGGGGTACGGTAGTCTGGAAAGTGAAACAACTTGTCACTTTTTAGTCACTCCTCAAGTCTTATTGCAGTTTTGAGGAACCTAATAATCCTTGCCTTTAAAGTCATCAGGCTAAAATATCCATTTACTAGATGAGGTTAAAAAAAACCTTCCTTTAGATGCATATATTTCTAGTGCAGTGGTGGGCAACCTGCAGCCCTCATGTGGCCCATCAGGGTAATCCACTGGTGGGCCGCAAGACAATCTATTTACATCGACCATCCGCAGGCACTGCTGCCCGCAGTTCCCATTACCCTGGAATGGCGAACCGTGGCTACTGGGAGCTGTGGGAAGCCGTGCCTGCGGACGGTCAATGTAAAGAAACTGTCTCGTGGCCCGCCAGTGGATTACCCTGACGGGCTGCATGTGGGCTGCAGGATGCCCACCACTGTTCTAGTGGAATAATTTCTCAAATATAAATTACTACCATGCCTCAATATCTTCAAGTGAGAGCATAAATAGAAAAAAAAGTGATTATAAATAAGACAAACCTAGGGAATTCTTCATAATCTGTATGTTAAGTTGATTTGTAAAAGTAAAATATTAAAAAATAAATGCTGGAGTTTTGTGAAATATCCAGGTCAGAATAAGAATGAAATTATCTTGGGGATATTAGATTTTCAAAGGATGGAACACCTTCATTTGCAAACCAGCATCTTTTAGTATACAAAAAGTACGTGTATAAGTATAGATTTATATACAATACATTAACACAAGCAGAAACTTTCGTCATAGTTAAGATTGCAATAGGACACAACATACTCAAGAAACTGGCACATCTGACTTTCATACAGTCCGTATACATGTAACATCATTCCACCTTACCATCACAGAGATTGATTTTGTGTTAAGAGTGCGAGTATGACTAAGGGGGTACATATGGCTTGTCAGGTATCTGATGGAAAAAGAAGTGGATGCCTTATAGCACTTCTTATCTGTGAAGCTCAAAGCACGTTACCATCTTGAATGTATATATCCTCACGACACCCCTGTAAGAAAGTGTTATCATCCCAGTTTTACAGATGGGGATATGAGACACAGAGGGGCTAAGTGACTTGCCCAAGGTCACACAGGAGGTCCATGCCATAGAAAGGAATTGAAGCAGGGTCTCCTACATCCTAAGCTAGTGCCCTAGCCACTGGACCATCCTTCCCCTTTACTATAGTTGTGGACAAAAAAAAAGTAAAACCTTTATCTGGCATTAGGGTTGCGCAAATGTATCAGTAATTTAAGAGTCTAAAACATTACAAGAACATCGTAATTATCTTAAAAACGAGCATTGCATACTCAGGAAATTCAGAATTAAAAAGTTAAACTTAAATATGTGTACACACATTGGCTATATATAATGATATAAATAAGGGGGGAGAGAGAAAAAGATTATACTGATAGATCTATATACAAATCAAAGTTCAAGAGATTTGAGAGAAAAATCTGTATATTACCAAAACTTCAGAGTGAAAATTTCAGACTAACAGTATATTTAAATGCAAAACTTGCCACAGAGTGAAATGTAATTTTGTAGCTTTCCTTGGTAATGCAGAAGACAGCTTGTGATACTTACCACATAAAGGGAAGATGTTTATCAGCTCAAAACTTTAGACCCTCCAAAGTGGCTCAGGAAAGATTGAACCCCTTTTAAAAGCAACTCTATCAGTAGTTTGCCAAAAAAGCCCTTCCGTGATGACAATTAAAACATGTATCTTTCAAAGGCTTCCAAACCACCAGAAATAATCTCTCCCCGTCTCCTCACACAGTGAAGAAGGTTGGTCTTCAGTGCTGAGTTCACTGCCAGCAGCAGCAGCAGCTGTGAGGGTGAAGCTCAGGGCTTCATCACTTTCTTGGGTTTCTTACTAACCTGATTTTCACTTTGAGCATCAGTTATTCCTGTAAATTCTGCAGCTGAGGGCTGGGTAGCAGCCTTGGGGTTTTTTTCTCAGCAGCTTTTAGAAAGGGTGCTGATGTTTTCTTAATTTATCTATATTTATCCCTTCCCATGCTTCTTATCACAAATTCTGTTTACTGCCAGGATAATGAGGAGACCCTCATCCCTCTTTAGGGAGTAATGCTGCCAAGATGCAGAAACGCAGGCTTAATGATGAACCAAGTGAATTTTCTGCCCCAGCTGACTCACTCATTTTTTTGGACTGCTCACAAAGGGATAATTAGCTGGAAAGCACTTTCCTGCTTTCTTCCAACTTTTATTTGTAACATATATAAACAACAATGCATCCTGCTGGACCACAGAAATTCTGACAGCCATGATCTATTGTATATTCTAGTAATAATAATTTTAAAGAGAAAGTTTCCCACATATAGAGTGAGGAAATGGCCATTTAAAAAGATAGATAATGCAGTATACTTTACAGTTGCATGCCATACATGGCATTTTTAAATTGAGTGCTATTGAAAGGTATGAAATTGGCAGCCCTGGGAGACTGAAGTCATTTATTCACAGAGCAAATTCACTAAGGGAAGCAGCAGTGTAAGCTACGCTGCCCTGCTACAACATACCTCTGGTGCCCCAAACCTAAGCTGGAATTTATGAGGAGGAGAAGATCTATGAGGAAGAGAATGACACACTAGTTAACAACAGTGGATAACAAAAGCCAAAACTAGACATTTATTTGAAAGTGAACATGCCCAAGCTGATGAGTAGGCTTGGAAAGAGGAGATTTTTTTCATCGGTAACTGTTGTTCAACATTGAGTTTCTCACGCGCACACACACACACAACCCACAAAAAATATTTCCACTGATAATCAAAATGCACAGACAGGCAAAATAAGAAAAATGCTGCTTGAGAACTTTGTAGAGTTTGATTTAAGGTTATTTACTTTGTATATTTTGACATATGGTGTTGAAAAATTGCATTTTAATGGTTATAAAGCTTTAATTTTTTCAGCATGTACTGTCATTAAATAATTGTCTGACCCCTAATTTTCTGCAACTGTGAAAACTTAAATCAATACACATTGAAAAAAATGCTTAAAAGCCATATACAGTAAAACCTGTGTTAACTGGCACTTTATCAACCAGAAAACTCTATTAACCGGCATTTCTGATATTGCCTGATACAAATCTTCAATCTAGTAACTGGGACTAGTATGCTGCCCAAAAGGTTATGCAATTGCCCATTCTGCACTCTACTTTTATGCAAAAGAGGCAGAAGACAAGTAAGCAAGCTGATATCAGGGATTTATTCAAAAAAGCAGTTTCCAGGGTGTGTCAGAGGGTCCTTACAGATTCATCCCAATCTCCTACACCTTCTACATCTACAATGAAAATTGATGTTGATAATGATGATCCTGAGGCACTGCAAGATCCTGAAGTGCCTTCTGAATCACCAAAGAAACATTAAATTATGCTCAGTATAGTTTTAGTGTTAAGTGTATTTTTAGTGATCTGGGTGTATGCCATGTGCTGCCCATAGCGATATGTAGTGTCACAAGATAAAGTTTTCTATACAGTAGGTTACCTGTATACACCTAAGTGCTTCAAGAAACCAACCACTCTGCAGTGCAGTACTACTACTGGATTGGTGAGTCCCTGTATACTATTTTATACTTGATTCATTTTATTCTATTCTGATTCTTTGAAAATTGGTATTCCATTGGTAAGTATAACTCTTAGTTAACTGGAATTTTTGACTAACTGGCACCCCCTATTCCCCCAACATGCCAGATAACAAAACTTTTACTGTATTTGTGCAACTGTGAACATTTAAATAAATAAAGAAAAAATACTTAAAAATAAACACTGATATAAGTCAATATTATAAAAAAAATGAAAATCAAATACTGCCAAGCCTACTGCTAAGGCAGTCTGTCATGGGATTGTAGGACTTTCTGGATATTTTTCTTTTGATTATTTTATATTTGTTAATAACAAATTGTGCTGCCATAACTTGAAATTGTCACTTTGCAGGGGCATGATGCTGGTGAAGAGCTAACCAGCACTTGGATGGAAGGAGACTGAGCTAGAACTGATAGAAACCCCTTTTCTTCCTGTGGGAAAAAAAATTCACACAAACTTATTATTTTAAACCTTTTGTGAGAAATTTTCAAAATAGTTCAGATCAAAATTTTTGTTTTGTTTAGATTCAAATTGAATTTTTTTGTTTTGATTCACTTCAGAAATTTTGTTTTGATTTACTTTTTTATATGGAAATTTTAAATGTTTATCTCTCTTTCCTCCCCCCCCGACTTTTCCAGCCCTACTTCTTTTTTGCCACTGCATACAATAAAATGAATGAATGTTGTCTACAGGTTTGTTTTGCTTTATTAATTTTTTCCCTCTCTTTTTTTTTTCTTTTTCCACTAAAACTTAAGGACATTTGGAGATGTTGCAGAGGGGCAGATTTACAGTGTTTTATTTTTCCTTTTGCCACTCTTAACTTTTTCAAAGCTAGGAGAAATTTTGAAAAATTACAGCAGGGGTTCTCAAACTGGGGGTTGTGAGGTTATTATATGGGGGGTCGTGAACTGTCAGCCTCCATCCCAAGCTCCGCTTTGCCTCCAGCATTTATAATGGTGTTAAATATATCAAAAAGTGTTTTTAATTTATAAGTGGGGGTCGCACTCAGTGGCTTGCTATGTGAAAGGGGTCACCAGTACAAAAAAGTTTGAGAATCACTGAATTACAGAATGGAGGGGGAAAATTGGGAAATACACTTGCTGGAAATTATTCATTCTGTTGCATTCAGTGGCAAAAATGTAAATGGGGCAAAGAGGGGAAAACACAAATAATAACCAACACATCTTTGAATACAACAAAAATTTCAATTCAAAATTACATGGAAAGTGTGCTTTTGTTTAGAAACTTCCCATACAGTCATTTAAATTACATTTTCCCACAAAAAATGTTTTGTTTTGTTTTTTGATGAAACTATTTTGGGTCAAGAAATTCTTTTGGTCCTTCAGAGCTGACTGCTCTCTGTGTTCACTGAGGTTGGTGTGGGAAGGGTTCTCATTGCTAATCTCCCAACAGTATTGTTTGCTGCTCTGAGGTAAATCCAGTGCATCTCTCTCAAGGGCTGCTTGGAGGCCACAGGGAGCAGTGCAGCCTGAAGCAGCCCTGTGTCAGCCACTCTTGGGAGCTGCCTCAGAGTGCAGGTTGTTCCCTGCTATTACCTCTGAGCTCCTCCTGGAGGAGCTTTTCCCTGTCATGCAAGAAAGCGAGGGCCAGGGCTGCAAACAAACCTCTCAACCCACCAATATGTGGCACAAGCCATCAAAATACATGTCAAATGACCAACGTATGGAACACCTGGGCTTTTTTAGCCACTGTGCAGCAAGTGAAGGATTATAATGGCTTTTAGCCATAAAACCTGATTTTAGGGATCTTTTCTCATTGCTGAACTAAATTGCAAAACTGGCTTATTTGGACTCAAACAGTGAAAATACACCCCCCCCCCCCAAACAGGTTTTATACTTAAGAACCATTGTAATCCATCAGTTACGGCACAATTCACAACCAAAGAGCCCCTTTGCACTACCCATGTCCTTCTCACAAACAGTATCCTTTGCCCTCCTACCTCCTCTCCCCAGTCCCATTTTCCCCTTTGTTCCTCTTGCTGCCTGTTGTTGCCTCCTGTTCTCCCCCACTCCCTTACTTTTGCTCTCCATATCCGACCCCAAAAGGGCCAGGAAACTATCTGCAAATTCTTCAGGGAGCAGCAGCAACAGTAAAGTCAGTGGTAGCTCAGTTCCTCTTCAGGCTTCCTCGCTCCTCCTCTCAGCCTGTGGGCTTGCATCAGGCAGTGACAGTGGTTGTGGAGGGTAGCTCCACAGAGTGCTCCCCAGCTCTGCTGTTCCTCCGGCTACAGGTTGGCAGCAGATAATGGCTCGCAGCGGCTCCTCTCACACGCCCAAGGAGAAGAGGTGCTGCCAGCACGTGCCTGTGTCCTCTTTGTGGTGATGTCACCACACACACACACACATCCAAGGACGTGTACTGCTTGGTGGTGTCTCCTCTTGTTCTCTCACTGGCTTCTGCTGACTGGTGTACCAGCCCCAGCTGCTGCAGACCGAAGAACACCATTAGCCTGCATGTAACAGCACAACCATGAGCCTTAAATGCCCCATGGCGAAAACTACAATGAAATATGATACAGTTGGGAGGCCAGTCTCACTCCTTAACTAGACAGGATAGCCAGCCACATCACTCACACTCCCCCTTCATGCATCCTCCAGGCTCCTGTCCACCACCTACACCCACTAATTCCTTCTCTTCCCCCTCTCAGTCTCCTACCCATCATATTCTCCTTCTCCACCATGCCACTTTCCCCTGCACCCACTTCAGGCTCCTCCTGTCCCCACATACCTCTGCACCTCTTAGTCTGACCCCATGCTGCCTCTGCTGGGTCCCCCACAATCTGCCTCCTGCCTCCCCACTGCCTTGAACCCACTTACAATCTGCTGCCTGCTCTCTACACTCCTCTGCACTCCCTCAGTCTCCACATATTCCTGCATCTCCTTAGCCTTACTTTTGCTCCCTCAGACTCCTCAGTTTCCTGTACAGTTTCCTAACACTCACTCACTCACCCAGATCCTTCATGTTCTCTTGTCCCCTGCCTGGTCCTCACATGGTGACTAAGGAGTCACCATGACTTCCCTGAGGGAAACCTGGCTTCAATCCCCTTGGAAACAATCAGAGATGGTGGCCATCTTTAATGGGGGCAGTATCGCTTTGATGTGTAAAGGCTGTAGGGAAGTGGCAGCCACCATGCTGAGGGCAGTCAGTCCTACTGATAGCAATTGGAGTTGGTGGCCATTTTGAGTTAGGACAAAATGTCACTGGTCTGAAGGAAGAAATCCACTGTTGCTAACTTGAATGATGTTATCAGTATTGCCAACCCCAAAAGAAGTCAAAAAGTCAGGAATTAGACTCCAAAA